AAAAAAAAAAAAAGGTCAACACCAATGTAACCAGAAGAGGTGAAAGTGATTGGCTCTGGGAAGGGGAGAATGGCAGGACCTTCTGATTTTATAACAAATCATTTAGAACACATTTGACTCTTAAAACTGTGTCTGTGACTAATAAAAGTAAACATTAGTATAAAAAGTTTGGGCAGCTTAATTAAAAGTGATATTTATAATTTTTACAAAAATTACTAGGGAAGTTAAAATAATTTGATAGGTATGTTGCGGGTTGAAAAGCAGAGACTAATGGTTCTCCCTTCAGAATTGAAGGGCCTAGGATTCTGTTGTCAGGTTGTGTACCCTGATGCTTTCCCTTGTCTCCTTAAGGACCCTGCAGTGGTTTCTGCAGACTGGAAAACCTCCATATCAATAGTCTTCACCTTTCTTGTTTTTCAGGTTGTCCGTACAAACCAGTGTGCAGGAGAATTTGTCATCACCTTTCCCCGTGCTTACCATAGTGGCTTCAACCAAGGCTATAACTTTGCTGAGGCTGTCAACTTTTGCACTGCCGACTGGGTGAGTCTGGAGTGTGGTGGGCTGGCAATGAGAAGCAGGAAAGTTGTGAGGAAGCTAAAAAATATCACTGCCTTCAGACTTGGCCACACTCAAACTTGAACCTGTCCACAGCTGCCAGCTGGGCGCCAGTGCATTGAGCACTATCGCCGGCTCCGAAGGTACTGTGTCTTCTCCCATGAGGAACTCATCTGCAAGATGGCTGCTTGCCCTGAGAAGCTGGACCTGAACCTGGCAGCAGCTGTGCATAAGGAGATGTTCATCATGGTGCAAGAGGAGCGGCGTCTACGGAAGGCTCTATTGGAGAAGGTAGGTGGTGGGAGAGTCCTTAGCATTAGATACCCTAGCTAGGAGGTTGTAGGAAATGGGCCATACCAAGGAGATGTAACCTTACTTTTGGAGTGTAGTGAAAAGAACTGGATGCATCTGAATTAAAAAACTCACTCCATTCTCTGCTCTAACCTTTACTGGCAACCTTAGACAAGTCAGTTGACTTCACTGTCAGTTTTTCCATATAATATGGGAATTATAATAATGCTTAAGGGCTGGGATTGTGGCTCATTGGCAGAGCACTTGCCTTGCACATGTGAGGCTCTGGGTTTGATCCTCAGCACCATGTAAAAATAAATACATAAAATAAAGATACTGTGTCCATCTATAACTAAAATAATAATAATACTTATATTTTTGAATAGTCCAGTGGATCAGATATAATGTTTAATAACTGACCCATAGCTGGTTATTGTATAGCAGTTCTTTATCATTATCCAAATAACTCAGTGAGACAGGCAAGCATATGAAATCCTCACTGCTGAGTATCTGGGTGACTTTATTAGGTTACTTAAACTCTCATAGTTTCACTTTCCTACTCTGTAAAATGGGAATAAATACTGACCTGCAAGGTAGTTGTGAAACTCAAACTGAGTTTCACATGTGTGAGGCAAGTGTGAGGCCCTGGGTTCAAAAAAAAAAGACAGCCTCTTTTTTTCTCTGCTCTTTTTGGTAATGTTAATACATGAAGAAAATGAAATATGGAATATTTCTTTGAAAGTGCTATTTTCTTACACATAGGTGGTTTAGTAACTCTAATTAGGGAAATAGTATTACCAAGTAGAAAGTGTTTCTACTTTAATACATTTCTTTTTTTCTTTTTTTTTATTAGAGAGAGTGATAGAGGAGAGAGAGAGAGAGAGAATTTTTAATATTTATTTTTAGTTCTCGGCAGACACAACATCTTTGTTGTTATGTGGTGCTGAGGATCGAACCCAGGCCGCACGCATGCCAGGCTAGCGCGCTACCGCTTGAGCCACATCCCCAGCCCTTTAACATTTCTGATAAGCATGTGTCAGTTGTGTGTGTGGCTGAGTAGAAGTTGCTACAGAGGTATAAAGTCCACTCATGTAGATTCATCTGCCACCTTCAAGCTCCACACTTATCTCTTTAGGGAATTGACTTAGTGGGGCTCCTCCATAAGATTACAGAGGAGGGTTGAGGGTATAGCACAGGAGTAGAGTGTGTACTTAGCATGCATGCATAAGGCCCCAGCACCACCAAAAAGAACAAAGTTTACAAATGAATGCTGATCCTGAGAAATTCCTTGCTTCCTATTTGGGATGGTACTTTATTATTTTAAAGCTCATAACTTTTCTGTGAATATGGGATGTAGGGAGAGTTTCAGCTATAGTAGTATTAGAAGTCTGGGGCTTCTCAGTCATGAAGATTTCCAGGCATCATTTTCTCTCTCTGTGGTCCTATTCTTAAATGATGGCCCTGAGGCTATACTATACTATAGGAAAGAGCCAAAGCAACATGGGGAGAATAGACTTTCCTGTCCTAACATTTAGAATTCTGTACACTTGGCCCTCACCTCAGAGAGGAGTTCTGTACACCCTAGTCTTAGAATACTTAAGAGATGATGTGTGTGTTGGAATACTTTTCTGGGAGGAGAAGATTTGATTTGCATCCAATTCTCTGTTTTGTTTAATTTGATACTGTGGATTGAACCCACTAAGCTATATTCCCAGCCCTTTTTATTTTTTATTGTGAGACAGGGTCTCACTAAGTTGCTGAGTCTGGCCTTGAACTTGTAATCCTCCTGCCTCAGCCTCCTGAGGTACTAGGATTACAGCATTTGCCACCACGCCTGGCTGCATCCAATTCTTAGGAGTTCATGATCCATGAAAACCTAGGGGCTTCATTTTTTTTTTTTTAAGGAAGTTCTATTCTTTTTTAAATACATTTATTTTTATGTGATGCTGAGGATCAAACCCAGGATCTCACACTTGCAAGGCGAGCGCTCTACCGCTGAGCCACAACCCCAGCCCATAGGTGCTTCATCATTAGAACATTCTTTGGCTTAGAGTCAAAGTGACTACAGTCAAATCCTTAGTTGGCAAGTTACTGACTCTTGAGACTTAATTTCCTCCTTAGTAAAATGAGATATAATAAGTATTTGTGGAGCACTGAAGTTGCTTTTTAATCCTCCTAACAATCCAAAGAAGATGGTACTGTTACCTCTATCTTACAAGAAAACTGAGACCCAGAAAGGTTTAAATAATTTACTCATGATTACACAGCTAAAATAAGTGGCACAGCAGTGGTATCTATAATTTGCAGTGGGCTTATAGCTTATGCAGAGGTTAGTTGTTGAAGTGTATAAGCAAAACTGTTAGCATCAGTATTTCTCTTTAAAATCCCTAAAATAACCCATAATATATAGCATTTTGTCTTTAAGTTACTCCAGCATAGTTGGCTTTTCCTTCATCTCTGAAATAGACTGGTTTGTATTCATTCTAAGCAGCAGATGAAGTCACTGGCTTAGCTTTGGAAATCTTGTATCTTTAAGACATGGACACAAGGGCATGCAGTTGAATTTCTGTAATCTGGATAGATGCAGGCAGTGTCTTCTGCCTGATAAGCAGTCAGCACAAGTAACTCTTAAGCCAGGATTGTTCCCTTGAATACATTCTACTTTGCTACCTCTCTGGTGCCATGGTCCACCACTGTCCTTGCCTTCTCTCATCCAAAAGGCCCTTAGTATCTAGCTGAATCTTATCTGATTTTCTTCCTCTATTAAATTCTCTGTCTCAGCCCATATTGATTTTGCCCTGATCCATCTGATTTCCTCTGCCTTGAGAATGTGGACTTGATAAAAGGCAGGTGTGCTCTGTGAAGTTTGGCCTCTTGACCTCCATGATCATCAGCATAGATTTGAGTCTAAATTGGGGCTCAGTGGTAGCTAAGATAGGGGTTTATTCAACCCTGCCTGGTTCATAACACATGTGGTTGGATGTTCCCAGGGTATCACAGAGGCTGAGCGAGAGGCATTTGAGCTGCTCCCAGATGATGAACGCCAATGCATCAAGTGCAAGACTACATGCTTCCTTTCTGCCCTGGCCTGCTATGACTGCCCAGATGGCCTTGTCTGCCTTTCCCATATCAATGACCTCTGCAAGTGCTCCAGTAGCCGGCAGTATCTGCGGTGAGCATGGAACCTTTCTGGAGGAAATGAGATAATGAGGAGGGTGCAGAGCTGGGCCAGACATGCTCTTCCTTGTCTTCTTCCTCCAGGTATCGGTACACCTTGGATGAGCTCCCTGCCATGCTGCATAAGCTGAAGGTTCGGGCCGAGTCCTTTGACACCTGGGCCAACAAAGTGCGAGTGGCCCTGGAGGTGGAGGATGGGCGGAAGCGCAGTGAGTGATGGGGGGGTCGGAGGGACTCCACAGGCAAGTTCTATTCCCTTTTCTACTGTACCCCTGAGACCCTTCCTGTGCCTTTACTCAATACTGCCTACTTCTTGCTGCTCTCATTCTCCCTCTAGGCCTTGAAGAACTGAGAGCACTAGAGTCTGAGGCCCGTGAGCGGAGGTTTCCTAACAGTGAGCTGCTGCAACGACTGAAGAATTGCCTGAGTGAGGCAGAAGCTTGCGTATCCCAGGCTCTGGGGCTGGTCAGCGGCCAGGAAGCTGGGTATGTTAACATGAGGTGCTAGGGCATAGAGAGACTGCTTAGGATCCAGTGCCTAAGAGAAGTGCTACAGGGGGTGGGCTCTCAATACCACTGGGTGTGTCAGCAGGAAGTTGTTAAGTACTTGAGAGTATGAGGTAGCCTGGAAGGGTAAGGAGACCAGGCAACTTGTGTCTATTTTATCAGTACCTATAGGAGATTTGAGAGACAGGCTGAGGAATTTTGTGGACAGGGAGAAGTTATGGGAGAGTTAGGTTAGAATAGGATGTAGACACATATATCTGAGCATAGCCACACATTTTTGGGTACACAGGTGGGGGATGGATTGAAGAGTCCAGGTATTGGGGTGTCTAGCTAAGTGGTAGAGGACCTGTTTCTCCTAATTTCCCTTATCCTATGAACATACTTATACTTTAAAACCCTCCCTGTAATCTGGGCAGTTGGGGAAATCCTGAGGTGTGAGATCAAGGTGGATAAGTATGGTGAGGAAAGGTATTGGGTCTTACTTAGCACAGAGATGGAGGGAAGGGACTGGTTTTGGACCTGAAACCCCCACATGTGAAACTCCATAGTCCCCACAGGGTAGCTGGTCTACAGATGACCCTGGCTGAGCTCCGGGCCTTTCTGGACCAGATGAACAACCTGCCTTGTGCCATGCACCAGATTGGGGATGTCAAGGTGAGGAGGGGTGGACTTGGAATGCTGCTGAGGGATCAGAGGGACTGGGGAACCTGAGCAGCAGGTCACTTTGGGCTCCCTTAGCAAATTTAAGGTATTTGGATGATGTAGGTTGCATGTGTGAGAAAATAGACACGAGGCAAGGGTCTAGTAACTCTCTGTTAAATGTGGGATTTGAGGGGCAGGTGACGGGTTTGAGTGTAGGATGCAGAATCAAAAGAAAGTTGTTTGGAGGAGGTAGAAGAAAAGGAGGTAATGAAAGTGCTTGTTGGGCCTGGAAAATTGAACAAAGTTCTTAAAGGTAAAGAATAAGCAGGATAAGAGGAGAGCAAACACCAGTGTGAGCATGATTGTTTGTACAGGGACTAAGTGTAGGGTGGCATTTTTTAGGGCAGAGGGTCTCTTACTGCTCTGAGGGCAGAGTCCTTTGCAGAGAGAAATGAAGCAGATTCCTGACCACTCTCTATTAAGAATTTCTGAGGGTGACTGGGTGTGGTGGTACTCACTTATAATCACAGTGACTAAGGCTAAGGCAGGAGGATCACAAGTTTGAGGCTATCCTTGGCAACTTAGTGAAACCCTGTCTTAAAATAAAAAGGACCAGATATATATCTCAGTGGTAGCCCCTGCTGTACCATTAAGAAAATTTAAAAAGAATCTTTAGTGGTGGGGCCTAGGAGTGTGCATTTTAACAAATTCCTCAGGGCATCTTAAGAAGTACTCAATGTTAGGAATCACTGTCTTAGAGCTTGGAGGAGGAGAGCCTGGCATTTAGGTTCCCTTTTCCCAAAAGATTAGAGGGGAAGAAGATAGTGGGGCAAGGGTATGTACTGGTAGAACCTCTAAGTAAGCCCAGCTGAGGAGTTTGTTCTTCATTCCATATCCTGGTAGGGTATTCTGGAACAGGTGGAGGCCTACCAGGTTGAGGCCCGTGAGGCCCTGGCCTCACAGCCCTCTAGTCCAGGGCTACTGCAGTCCCTGTTGGAGAGGGGGCAGCAGCTAGGAGTGGAGGTGCCTGAGGCCCAGCAACTCCAGCGGCAAGTGGAACAGGCGCGATGGCTGGATGAGGTAAAACGCACGTTGGCCCCGTCTGCCCGAAGGGGCACCTTGGCTGTCATGAGAGGACTGTTGGTTGCTGGGGCCAATGTAGCCCCTAGCCCTGCTGTGGATAAGGCCCAGGCTGAGCTGCAGGAGTTGCTGACCATTGCTGAACGCTGGGAGGAGAAGGCCCACCTCTGCCTGGAGGCCAGGTAGGCCCGGCTCTTCCCCTCCATGCCCTTTATCCTTCAAAGTTTCATGGAGAACCTGAAGATGGTTGCTATAGGTGGTCTTGGATGTTTTACTCCTGTGTTGGTGTAGGGACTCTCCACCTAACTTGTGTTTCCTGTCTTGTTCTTTTAAAAACATAATTTATATACACAGAGAGGCAGAGATGCATAGAGGACTAGCCCTGTAGGCTTATGTGGTATACACACGAAAGCACAAATAACAGGCAGTTGGGCATATGTTAGTAGGAAGACAACACACATGGGGCAGTCTGATAAGACTGCAGCCATAGGTTACATACCAACAGTATGTGTAGGCACTTCCAGCAGACTGATAGACTGGTGGACAGGCAGAGGTGCAAGAGTTGTGGCAAAAGGAGATGCATGGGTGCATGCAGTCTGAAGGAAACAGGGACTGGCAGCCATCCATAGTCAGGACTCAAGCAATTAAGCCCACATGATAGCAGGAATTACATGTGCCCAAGGGGCCTATGCAGATACATCTGGTTATCAGACTGGGCTTCTGGTCAGTTATACCAGACGGAGTCCTCTTTTTTTCCTACCTTTAGGCAGAAACATCCACCAGCTACACTCGAGGCCATAATCCGTGAAGCAGAAAACATCCCAGTTCACCTGCCCAACATCCAAGCTCTCAAGGAGGCTCTTGCTAAGGCCCGGGCTTGGATTGCCGATGTGGATGAGATCCAAGTGAGGACCACTCCCCCATCCAAGGCTTTCTGTCAGCTGAGAAGAGTTTGCAAACACTGGGTTGGGTGGGCTAAAGAGAGGAAACTTGTATGGCACACTGAGGAGGCAAAATGTGCTTGGTGAACAATGTGAGAGGAAGGGTCGCGAGGCTGGCATGAAAAAAGTTGAGGTGCTGGTTAGGATGAAGATGGTAGGGCAGGGAACCAGTTAGTGTGGGAGTGGAGCAGAGTAGGTACCTGGAGGAGGGTTGAAGAGGAAAAACTACAGGCTAACAGTGAGGCTGATGGTCCTGGGACGGGGGATAAGCCAGTCAGTGGATGCAGGTATTTGGGAGAGAGCCAGGACAATGCCTATTTTCTGCTTCAAGACTGAGTCCAGTCCATCTTCTCAGCTCAGGACTGGGCAGAGTAAGCATCAGTAGACATTGGCAGTTTAAACTCAGCTTTCTCTCACCTCTGTCCTCAGAATGGTGATCACTACCCCTGCTTGGATGACTTGGAGGGCCTGGTGGCTGTGGGCCGGGATCTCCCTGTGGGGCTAGAGGAACTGAGACAACTGGAGCTGCAGGTACTGACAGCGCACTCCTGGAGGGAGAAGGCCTCCAAGACCTTCCTCAAGAAGAACTCTTGCTACACACTGCTGGAGGTGAGACCTTGCACCTTCACCCACAGCCTCTTCTCACCTGGCCTGGCTGTTGTGAGATGGCTCATATGAGAAAATGGGTTTTTGAAGGGCACCAGAAAGGGGAGGAGAGGAGAGGGTGTGGGAGGTAGGGAAGCCCGGTCATTCCCCCTCTGTCTGCCTGCCTCAGGTGCTCTGCCCGTGTGCAGACGCCGGCTCAGACAGCACCAAGCGCAGCCGGTGGATGGAGAAGGAGCTGGGGTTGTACAAATCTGACACAGAGCTGCTGGGGCTGTCTGCGCAGGACCTCAGGGACCCAGGCTCTGTGGTAAGGAGCTTAGACACAGATGGGTGAAGAGCCTGGCAATGATAGAGTTGTCTGAGCCGGGTGACCATGGGCAGACCGCTTGCTTCCTGAGCTTTACTTCTCTTGGTTTGGGAGTGGGGTGTTAAGGGGGCCAGAGAAGAGAGGGGGCAGGCTGCTGACCTATTCTTCCCCCCTGTCCTGGGCACGGCAGATCGTGGCCTTCAAGGAGGGGGAACAGAAGGAGAAGGAGGGTATCCTGCAGCTGCGCCGCACCAATTCAGCCAAGCCCAGTCCACTGGCATCGTCGACCACGGCCTCTTCTGCAACCTCCGTCTGCGTGTGTGGGCAAGTGCCAGCCGGGGTGGGAGCTCTGCAGTGTGACCTGTGTCAGGACTGGTTCCATGGGCGGTGTGTGTCGGTGCCCCGCCTCCTCAGCTCCCCAAGGCCCAGTCCCACCTCATCCCCGCTACTGGCCTGGTGGGAGTGGGACACCAAATTCCTATGCCCACTGTGCATGCGCTCACGGCGCCCACGCCTGGAGACCATCCTGGCACTGCTGGTAGCCCTACAGAGACTGCCTGTGCGGCTGCCTGAGGGTGAGGCCCTACAGTGCCTCACAGAGAGGGCCATCAGCTGGCAAGGCCGTGCCAGACAGGCTCTGGCCTCTGAGGACGTGACTGCTCTGTTGGGACGGCTGGCTGAGCTCCGCCAACGGCTACAGGCTGAACCCAGGCCCGAGGAGCCCCCTTCCTATCCTTCGGCCCCTGCCTCTGACTCTCTCAGAGAGGGCAGTGGCAAGGATATGCCTAAGGTGAGCTGCTTGGCCCAGCTCTTGTCCTCAAATTCCTGTCTCCTGGCCCCTACCCCGATTTAGATTCCAGCTCTGTCCCTGCTTTCCAATTTTCATACTCTTTTGGCCCAGCCTCCCTGCCCCATTCTGTATCTGTCCAGATCCATAGACTCTTCCATACTTGTAACCTGTGTCTGCTCCCTCCTCTTCCAGGATGTAGAAGGTCCCAGGTTGGGGATGGTTCTTCAGTTTAGTTACTCTTACCCATTATTGTTTTCCTTGGCAGGTCCAGGGTTTATTGGAGAACGGAGATAGTATGACCAGTCCTGAGAAGGTGGCCCCAGAGGAGGGCTCAGGTAAGAGAGGTAGGTCTAGATGTGGTGTGGGTAGGCTGTTGACTAGATGTCACCAGAGTGACCCATGTAGTTCTCAGCTCTGTCCTAGTAGTGGAAACGACCAAGGACAGTCTCTAACATAGCCTGTCCCCACCCCATCTCTCCTAGATCTGGAGATGCTATCCTCGCTGTTGCCACAGTTGACTGGCCCTGTGTTAGAACTGCCTGAGGCAACCCGGGCCCCACTGGAGGAGCTCATGATGGAGGGCGACCTGCTTGAGGTGACCCTGGATGAGAACCACAGCATCTGGCAGCTGCTGCAGGCTGGGCAGCCTCCAGACCTGGAGCGGATCCAAACACTTCTAGAGGTGAGGAGAGAAATCATAGGCAGGGCCAGGAGGTCAGGCCAAGCAGGCAGGGAGCCCAGGCCTGACTGCTGGCCCACAACCTATCTTTTCTGCCTGTCTGTGATCACAGCTGGAGAAGGCAGAGCGCCATGGGAGTCGGGCACGGGGCCGGGCCCTGGAGAGGCGGCGGCGGCGGAAGGTGGATCGGGGTGGGGAGGGCGATGACCCAGCCCGAGAGGAGCTAGAGCCAAAGAGGGTACGGAGCTCAGGGCCAGAGGCCGAGGAAGCCCAGGAGGAGGAGGAGCTGGAGGAGGAGACTGGGGGTGAGGTCCCCCCTGCATCCCTCCCCAACACTGGCAGCCCCAGCACCCAGGAGAACCAGAATGGCTTGGAACCGGCGCTAGGGGCCACTTCAGGCCCCTCGTCCCCTTTCTCTACTCTGACTTCCCGGCTGCATATGCCCTGCCCACAGCAGCCTCCTCAGCAACAGTTGTGACAGTGGCTGAGCCTAGCACAGACCCCAACAGAGATCCCCCACCTTGGCCTCAAGGATCCTCTTTCTGACCATCAAGCCTGCTTCTTGGGAGGTGGGCAGGGAGGGGGGGAAGGCCAACCCCCTCCCCACCCACCCCTGAGTCCCTTGATTTTTATATTCTGACTCCAAGGTATTGTTCAGACCTCAGCTCCTGGGGGCCGGCCCCTGGAGTCCCCCCGTCCCTGGTAACCTCTAACCAGCATTCCCAGACTCCTGAGGCAGATAGACAGATGGGCAGGTGGGCAGAGGGACAACTGGGGCTGGGCCAGCACCATTCCAGAGACAAGGCCAGTGCATATGCAAACTGGGGGATCTCCTCTCTCTTCTCTTCCCCAGTTCTGGCCCTGGCCAGGCCACGCTACACTAACCTCCCCTTCCCCCTCTCACTCTTGCCTCTCCCCACTCCCCTTCCTCCCTCTCCCATCCTTCCTCTCCCTGACTGTTCTACCCAGGAGGAGGAAGCTTCACATAGCTGTGCTCAGTTTCTTATTTTAAAGGAATTTGGTTGGGGGGCTGAACAGGGCATCCTTTGGTCTGAAGAAAGCTTTTGGTGCTTGTCCTCACACCCACCTCAACCCTCCCACCCCATCTTCCCCTGTCTCCTTTCCTCCTCCTGGGTTCATGTTGTAATAAAGAAGATTGTTGGTGTGTAATTAATTTGTTCAAAAGGAAAAAAAAAAAAAGCAAAACAAGAAACTTGGTTCCAACTGAAGCCTATTTTAATTTTATTTTATTATAATTTTCCTCTTGTTAGAAATAAAACCCTTAGCAACGTTTTTTGGAAACATGTTTCTGAAGTGCATTTCTCTTCGAAGGGGAGAATGGTGCCTCCCTCGCCTGTCAGTGGAGCAGCTCTAGTGCTAGCAGGATTCTGGGGCTGAGGACAGGGAGCCCAGGGTTCAGAATCTTAGTCCCACCAGCTTCTCTTTAACCTGGGCAAGACATTCCAATCAGGTGGGCTCTGGCCCTGCCCATCTAACCTCCAGCACAATAGCCTCCACCAGCTTTGTGCCCTCATCTAAGCCTCTAGTTCCCAGAGGAATTTTTTTTTTCATGGCTTTATTGAGGTACAGTCTTCACGCTTAAAATTCACCTGTTTGAAATATGTGATTTGTTCTGTCAGACAGTTGTTTCTACAGTATGGATCTGACTGTATCACTACTGCTTAAAACTTTGTGATGCTTCATTGCCCTTAAGATAAAGATTATATTTAATGTCATTCTTTCTAGAATGCTTTCCTGTTTAACCTATATGCCGTATTCAGGGACTCATCCCTGATGTTTCTCCACTGGTTCTTTCTGCCCCTGATCAATGGGGACTAAAGCTCAAATGTGTGGTTGGCTATTTGCAATTCCTGAGTTTACTTTTTTTATTTGCTTTATTGAGATAAAATTCACACACCATATAGTTCACCCACTTAAAGTGTACAATTCAGTGGCTTTTAGTATATTCACAGAGTTGTGCAACCATCACTATGAAAAAGTCTAGAATGTTTTTATCACCCCCAAAAGAAACTCCACACTCCTTAGGTGTCCTTCCCATCCCCCTGTTTGCTCATTTTTGACATTTTATATAAATGAAATTATATATAATATGTGATCCTTTGTGTTTGGCTTCTTTCACTTGGCATAATCATTTCAAGCCCATTAATGGTCCTACAATAGTTGGGTGGATTTTTCCCTTCTGAGCCTTGAAGTCTTTTAAGATGAGGGTGCTGGGCTAGATCAGGGACCACCCCTGGAGATTACTGACACGTTTTTGTGAGTGTCTGCATGTGTTTTTCAGGTAAACAGACTAACCAACTTGCATCAGATTCATAAAAGGATCCTTGACCCTCCAGAGGCTAAGAACCATTCCTTGTGGTCCTGAGTGTTCTGTGCTCAGGACATAGAGGAGGAATCAAGAGCATAGAAACTGCTAAGTCAACCAGCTTCTCTTCATGCTTGGTTCCTAGAGGGCTTTCCCTCCTTTCAAGGGGCTGCACAGAGGTATTAGAAGCTAAAGGCCAGGTCCTGATCCCTAGCCCAGGAATACAGCACATTGCCACTCTATTTTGTCCTTTTTCATCTGTGTGTTTGGAGAGTTCCATTTGCTCTTTTTCTCTCCCTTCCCAGGATTTCCAGGTGATAGAAACCTGTTGGTGAATTGCAAAGCACGCCCTCTTGTGGCAGCTCTGAGTGGTGAGAGGGCTTGTCTCAGCCCTCTGTCGTCCAGTTTGGGTTGGGGCCCTGGACTATACAATGAAAGGCAAGGGCCAATGAACTACCCTATCCTGGGCCCAGTTTTATTCCAGGTTCCAGCCCAGGGAAAAAGCTGGCTTTTTATCTGCCCACCTGTCTAAAATTGATCATGAAGAAAAGAGGGTAATGACAGACAAGAAAGACCTGGGACAGGGACAGAAAGGGGCTCAATCTTGACAATTAATCACCACTCCAAGGCAGCTAACCACTGGAAGAAGTGGCCAGACAGGAAAGGAAGAGATGATGCAGCAAGACCCAGGCTAGAGAACTGCTTGCCTGAGGTGAGGGTCTTTAAGTTTATGGGCCCATCCCTCACTGATTGGCAGATACCCTTTCTCACCTTGGAACCGCCCTGCCCCATCCCTCTTTTACTTTATGCCCCCTTTACAGTGGACATGTATCCCTTGAATTCTACAGAAAAGGCTGTAGCCATCCTGCAAGACCCAGGTTAATTCTAACCTCTACTAGAGAACTTCCTTTGGTTCCACATCTGTCCCTTTCCCAGGCAGTCCCCTAGAAAGGGAGGGGTAACTGATGCAGGAGCCTTAGAGCTGAGTGGGGGATAGGAGAATGAAACCAGGGCATTAGTATTGTCTCACTTCAAAGTTATTTTCTACTTTATACAGACACCCTGCTCTGTATCCCAGATACTACTTTGCCCCTCAGTATGTCTCCTGAGTCTGCAGGTGACAAGGGGATAGGAAGACACATTAGTAAGGACTATCCCATTTCTCAGGCTCAACTGACCCCCCCCCCTGCCATTAGTGCCTCCATTGTGCCTTAAATGGTGTCTGAAACACTAGGATTAATGGGTTTCCTCCTACCCTCTGTTCCCCATACTGGGAGTTCCTGAAGGGAAGGTGAGGCCCAGGCTTGAGTCCTCCCCACTTTTAGGCTAGGAACCCTGCAAAGTTGGCTCAGAAGAAGGCAGACAGAAGCAGCAGTTGGAGTCCCATACCGTGTATGTGAACCTCCTTTTTGCATTGCAAAAGTTCCAGATGGCAATCTATAGTGGTAGTAATTGGGTTTGAGGTCCATGGTCAATGGGGCAGGCATTAGACATGCTTCCAAGAAGACCTGAAATTGTGAGAGAAAAGGGATACCAAGCCAGAGAAATGGGTTCCCTCCCCTAGAACACTCATATTCTAGCAAAGGGAAACAGCCCCTTGTGAACCCCCTCCTGGGTGCCAAGTTCCACATGAGATATTTCAAAGTCCTTGATAGACACATAAGGAAACAGACCTCTAGAACAGGTCAGGCCCAGGTATTATCGACTTGATAGGGCTGGGATGTTCACTGTTTCTGTGAATCTAAGCTCTGCCCGTCAGAAGGGTTCCAAAGCAAGTGGTCTGCCACCAGGAAGTAGTTCATAGTGGGAACCAGCATTGATCTCTGCTGTTGGTAGGTTAGGAACTCAGCAGTGCTATACATATTGGCCTTGGTAGGTAGAAGCCTCTGTTGCTGAGGTTCTGCATAAGCTCCATGCCTGTCTGTATTATGTACTGCTGTGTCACAAATTACCTCAAAACCATAGTGGCTTAAAACAGCATTCATCTCATAGTTCCTGTGGGATAGAAATGTAGGTACATCTTAGTTGAGTTTCTATTTCAGGGCCGCTCACAGCCTGCAATCAAAGTGTCAGCCAGGGCTGTAGTCATCTCAAGGCTCCACTGTAGAAGGATCTGTTTCCAAACTCCCTCACAGGGTTATTGGCAAGATTCAGTATTTTTTTGCTGGCTCTTGGCCAGATACCACTCTCAATTCCTTGCTATGTGGATCTTTTCATAGGGCAACTTGTTTTGTCAGAGCAATCAAGTGAGATGAGAGAGAGAGAATGTGCCCACGTGCAAGACAGAAGTCATTCTTTATAACCTATCACTTTTGCAGTAGTCTATTCATTAGAAGTAAGTCACTAGGTCCAGACCACACTGACCTAGGATTTACACAATGGTGCCAACAGTGAAGGTGAGGAACATTGGGGGCCATCTTGGAGACTGATTACCATTGGTCCGCAATGATTCATATTCCTTCCACATACAAAATATATTCATCCCTTCCCAAGTTCTCTAAAAATCTCATCCCATTACAGCATGACCTCAAAGTTCAGAATATCTTAATCAGGTCCAGGTGTGACTGAGGTGCCTTGGGTGTATTCCTTAAGTATGGTTCTTTGAATACTATTTTTCTCTATGTATAGATCTGTGAAACTTAAGAGGCAAGTTATCTGTTCCCAAGACACCCAACACACAATGGTGGAACAGACATAGGATAACTGCTACAGATATTCCTGTTCAAAAGGTGGAGGAAATGGGAGATGCAAGGGAGTTACTGGTCTATAATAATTCTGAAGTCTAACTGGGCAAACAGAAGTTCCTTGATTAGATTTCAAGGTCTGGGAATAATTCTCAATGGCTCTTTGCCCTGCCTTCTGGGCTCTTGCTTCCATCATCTGTGCCTTCTTTCCTTCCTTCCTTTTTCATTAAGAGTAGCACATGTTTGCAGCTAAGCAGTTCGCCCAATCTGCTTACCGCCAGTAGAATTTCAGAGGTCCATTGACTTCTTTTTGTCTTGTATTGTCTCTGTAATCATATGCTTGGTATTTCTCTTCTGTTGGTGAGTTGGGCAGTCACCAGTGGCTATAGCCAGACTGGCGTTGGTGGAAGTCCATATTGTGGAGCCCATGTCCACCATCATGGCCATTTTGTTCTGGAGTCTGTTGGGCAAGGAAAAGGACGACAGGATAGAGGTTGGCTCATATTCACAGAACAGGTTATCTTGTCTGAGATCCTCCTCCATAGTGGATTCTTTCTGGTGCTCATTTATGTGGGACAAAAATAACTCTCACACTGTATGTCCATTCTATGGAGGACATGGCCTTCCTGAAACTTCCTTATTAACAATATTTCAACTCTATCCTTTTAAAATCCTTGACCAGGGAGCCAGGTCATTGGTAGCTACTCATCAGTGAGTTGTCAGCTATCTACATTTTTGACCATTTATGTGACTAGGTAGTTTTTCTACTGGAAGAATTTCCCTTCTTATTATCCTTCAAGATCAATCTTAAGTGGGGTTATAATCCTGCAACTAGCCACTTCTGGCAGATACCAGCATATTGCATAGAACCATTTGGTTTTAAACCAAGATTAAATATTGTATCCCTTAGTCATTTGGTCACAGGCAACTCCCATGAGGCCTAGGTGTAGGTGAGAAAGAGAAGGCAGTACAGCAGGTGGGGGAGTAAGATTACCTGCTCAGGCAGCTTACTTGTGTTTCCAAGACCTGCTGTATAGACCTATTCTATTTGATAGTGGAATGCTGTTGCACAAAGATAACTTCATGGACCTGATGGGACAGTTCCAGAGATCAACATAGGCAGATCAACACCAAACACAGGTCAGCTGGTGTCCTGTGCTCAGGTGTTCACTCACAAAATTGATCCACTTTTTCATTTTTATTTCTCACTGCTTCTGGGATTCCTATATCATGATGTTGCCAATTCCAATTTTATCCTCCATTTCTTTAGTCTTTAAATAAAAAGTATGTTGTATCTCCTTAGTCTTTCCTGTTGATTTCCAGAAAAGGCCCTCAATCTGATCTTCCTCTCAATAATTTGTTCTTCTGCTATAACCCTCTATCTTTATGCCATCTGTACTGTGTGTCTCAATAATGTATCCAGGAACTGGAGAAATCACCTTAGGATTTCTCCTGGGCACCATTTGAGGACTCAGGATGAAACTTCATGTATAACCTGATCCTAGTCTAACTAGTTGACCATAGTGAGTGGCTGGGTCACCAGGGATTAACATCAATACAGCATATCCAGTGTATTTTAAGATGTCTGGCTGGATATTTCCCTGTCCCCAGCACAAAATTATCCTGGCTGTAGGTCCCTGTGGGGAAAGCAGGAAGGGAGATTTTACCATATACACTTGTGAAAGTGTAGCAAGGTCATTCTTCAAATGGACCCTCCCTTTCATTCAAGGGGCTTTATTTAGTCTATGGACTGGGGGAAAGGCTGGGACTGTACATTTTGGCAACTATATCATATGCCACACCAGAAAAAATGGGGGGGGTTATATAATAAGTAGGACTGTCCATCTATTTGGTCCCAATAAAACCATGCTTAATTAGCCACTATTACAGATTCCCACAGGTCAAACCATTCTGATTACTGCTATGGTTCTGCTGTTCACTATAGGAACCAAACCCAACTTCTCTCTGAAGGTGATCCTATCATCCCCACTGAAATCTTCAAAATATGGTCACCATTGTACTATTGTCACCTCCATCCCAGCCAGCCAGAAGAGGAAAAGACCAGGTAGAATGTTTTTAGAAGCTAAGCCTGGATGTAGTGCATGTTACATCTGCTCACATTCTGTTAGCTAGAACTGGGACAATGGCGTATCCAATTTCAGGGACACTGGAAAACATAATCTGAATTTGTCCCTAGAAAGAAGAGGAAGAAGACTTAATGATCACCTAACCAATTTTTTGCCATATGTCATACTGTACTTTTCAAAGCCCTTCTAGAAGGAATAGTAACAGAGGATGAAATGAATGGGTTAGCATGATTAGTCAATTACAACATTCTTGTTGTCCTAAACAATTTGGATTCTTCTATTTACATTGTACCACAGATTTTCTGGCATCTTAACTTCATTTAACACAGATTATTGTTGAGACCACATTTTAGTCAAATAATACAACAACTCAGAAATACTCATAGTTGCTTTAGCCTACAAAGTACATCTAGGATTGCTAATGACCCCTATTGAAAAGTCTGACCTCACCAAAATCAGATAAAAATAGCACAAAAAAAGAAAATTACAGAACAATATCCTTGGTGAATATAGATGTGAAATTCTCAACAGATTACTAGCAAGACAAATTCAGCAGCAGATTGAAAGTATTATATGTCAGGATCAAGTGGGATTTACCGTAGGAATGCAAGAGTGATTGAACATGAAATCTATCAAGGTAATACATCACAATAGAACAAAGAAAAAACACATGATCGTCTCATTTCATACAGAAAAGGCATTTCAAATGCAGAAAAGGCATAGAGCTAATAAATTTAGGACAAATTGCAGGATACAAGAGGAACACATAGAAATTAGTTCTATTTTTATATTCTAGCAATGAATGATTAAAAATGAAATAAAAAATAATTCCATTTACAATAACACCCACAAAAATAAAATACCTAGGAATAAATATGACCATGGAGAAGAAAGACTTACACATTAAAAACTATAAAAAATTGCCGAAAGAAAATAAAGATCTAAAGAAGTGGAAAGATTCCATGTCTGTGAATTGGAAGATTTATCATTGTTAATGTTAATACTAGCCAAGGTGTTCTATAAATTCAATGCAGTCCTCTATGAAAGTTTGAACAGGATTTTTGCAGAAACTGGAAAGCCAACCCACAAATTAATATGAAATTGCAAGGGACCAATAATAGCCAAAACAATATTGAAAAAGAATATCAAATGGCCGATTGATTTTTGTGTGTGATACTAGAAATTGAACCCAGGGCTTCACATAAACTGGGTAAGCCCTCTACCACAGAGTTAACCCTCCAGGTGGATAACTGATTTTTGACAAGGGTGACAAGTCCAGTAGGGGAGAAAATAGTCTTCAACTGATAGTGCTTGAACAACTTAATTTCCACATGCAGAACAACGAACTTGGACCCTCTACCTCACACCATATACCATTAACCCAAAATGAATCAGCGCCTTATGTTTAAGAGTTAAAATAACACTCTTTAGAAGAAAATAGGAATTGTTCCTTATGACCTTGGATGTGGCAATGGAGTTTTAGATATGATACCAAAAGCATGAGCAAAACAATAAAATAGATAAATTGGATTTCATTGATATTAAATATTTTGTGCATAATAGGATAGTATCAAAAAAGAGAAAGGACAATTTACAAAATAGGATTCTATATTTTTAAATCACATATCTGATAAGGATTTACTATTCAGAATATGTAAAGAGTTTGTACAACTTAGCGAAAAGAGAAACAACCCAGTTTTAAAAATGGGCAAAGGTCTTGAATAAATATTTCCCCAAAGAAGATATAAAAATAGGGGCTGGGGATGCGGCTCAGCGGTGGAGTGCTTGCTGAGCATGTGTGAGGCGCTGGGTTCAATCCTCAGTACCACATAAAAATAAATAAATAAAACCAAAGTATTGTGTCCAACTGCAGCTAAAAAAATATTTTTAAAAAAGAAGATATAAAAATAGCCAAGAAGCACAGGAAAAGATGTGTAATGCCTTTTATTAGGGAAATGCAAATCAAAGCCACAATGAAAAACCACTTCATGTCCACTAGAATAGCTACAATAATAAATTTTAAACCCAGAAAATAGGAAGTTGGAGAGAATATGGAGAAATTGTAACCCTAGTATATTGTTGGTAGTAATGTAAAATGGGCCCTCTCTGTAAAACAGTTTGGCAGTTCCTCAAAAAGCTACCAGAATTGCCATATCACCTAGCAATTCCACTCTTAGGTTTACACTTAAAAACTTTAAAAAGGAACTCAAACATATAATTGAATACTAATTTTCACTGAAACATTATTCATGATAATCAAGAGGAAAAAACAACACAAGTGTCTGTCCATCAACATAAGAATGTATAAACAAAATGTGGTATGTACAAATAGTAGAATATTATTCAGCCATAAAAAGAATGAAGTTTGGACACATGCTACAATATGAAAGAACTTTGGAAAAATTCTAACTGAAATAATCTAGACGCAAAGGGCAAAGATTGTATGATTCCACTTTAGTGAGATTATCTGGGCTTGGCAAATTCAGAGACAGAAAGTAGTTAAAAGGTTAATAGGGGCTAGTAATATGAGAGAATGGTTGTGCAGAATTTCTTTTTGGGGTGATGAAAAGTTTTGGAACTAGATAGTAGTGATGATTGCACAACATTGTGAACGTGATTAATGTCACCTAATTGTACACTCAAAAATGGTTAAAATGATAATTTTTTTAAATAATGAAGAATTACTGTAATATTTATTTTTTAGTTGTAACTGGACACAATATCTTTATTATATTTATTTTTATGTGGTGCTGAGGATTGAACCCAGGGCCTCACACGTGCTAGATGAGCAATCTACCGCTGAGCCACAATCCCAGCCCCAAATTTTTGATTATATAATATATATATATATATATATATATCCATCCACAACAAAAAACGTTTAGCTCAATGTAAAGTTACATTTCTTTCTCCTGATCTATCATCCTTAGAGTCAATTCCCACACATGTTACTGAGATTCCTGCCAATATAAATTAGCTAAATCTCCTTAGGTTTGTGTTTGCATGTGTGCTCGCACACTTTCTAATAGTGTCTACTTGTTCTTGGACGTGTGGATATCTGAATTCTGTAATGGGTCTAAAGGCAGCAAGGAGTGATATTGATAGCTCTTTGAGAAAGATTAGCCAGATTGTTTTTTTTCTTTTGTGGGGGAGGTATTAGGGGATAAACCCAGGAGCTTTTTACCTCTGCACTACCTCCCCCTACCTTTTAAATTTTTTGAGATGGGATTGTTCGAAGTTGTTTAGGGCCTTGCTAAGTTATTGAGACTGGTCTTAGATTTACAATCCTCCTGACTCAGCCTCCTGAGTCATTGGGATTAATTAGCCAGATCTTGAAAAGGCCCCTAAGTCATACCAGACCAGCCCCATTAGACTGGGGAGGAAGAACAGCCTCTGGTGCCAAGGGATGCTCAGTGAAGGTTGGGGTTTAGGGCACTCAGATCTGTCCAAATCAACTCTGATATTTATATTCCAATTCTGTTTTTAAAAAATATTTATTTTTTAGTTGTAGTTGGACACAATACTTTTGTTTTATTTACCTATTTTTATGTGGTGCTGAGGATAGAACCCTGGGCATCGCACACGCTAGGCAAGCTGAGCCACAACCCCAGCCCCTCTATTCCAATTCTTAAGGTCCCACTGTTTCCCTAATTAGTAGCCTTGTTTTCACATAAGAGACCTGGAGGTCCTGTGAATTCAATCTGCATTGGAAGTTAGCAACCTACAGGATTTAGCTTATGTCTGATTTCAGTCTGTATCAGTCCTGGGCTTAGAAGAGATAAACAGATTTCTTTTTTAACCATAAACTTTATTTTTAGAGTTGTTTTAGGTTCACAGTAAAATGGAGTGCAAAGTACAGAGAATTTCCATATACCCCCTGCTCCCACATGTATACAGCCTCTTGCACTAAATCTCACAACAGAGTAGTGCATTTGTTACTGTTCATGTTCATAAACTCATATTGTCGTATCATCAATCAGGTCAATAGTTTATATTAGGGCTCAATCTTGGTGTTGTACATTTTATGGTTTTTGACAAATATATAATGACATGTGTCTACCACTACAGTATCATACAGAGTAGTTTCACTGCCCTAAAATGTCTGTGCTTCACCTATTCATGTGTCTTTCTTCTAACCCCTGGCAACACTGATCTTTTTACTGTCTCCGAAGTTTTGTGTTTTCCAAAATGACATTATTCAGGAATCAGAGTATGTAACATTTTCAGATTTTCTTCTTTCACTTAGTAATACTCATTTAAGTTTCCTCTATGTCACTTTATGACTTAATAGCTCATTTCTCTCCTCCTTCCCTCCATCCCTCCCTTCCTTTCTTCCTTACCTTTCTTTTCTTCAAACTGGGAATTGAACCAAGGCCTCAGGCATAGGAAAGCACTCTGTCACTGGACAGCTCACTTCTTTCTCCTTCTTCTCAGTGCTGGGGATTGAACTAAGGGGCACTTTACTAACTACTGAGCTACACCCGTAGCACTTTTTAACTTTTATTATAAGACAGGGTCTTGCTAAAGTTGCCCAGCCTTCCCTGGAACTTGTGATATTTCTGTCTCAGTTTCCAAAGTGGTGGAGATTACAAGCATGCACCACTGCACCTGCTCGTTTCTTTTTAGCACTGAATAATATTCCATTGTCTGGATGTACCACAAATTTCTCCATTCACCTACTGAAGGACATCTTGGTTGCTTCAAAGTTTTGACAATTATGAATAAAGCTGCTGAAAACATTTATATGCCGGTTTGTGTGGATATAAGTTTTCAACCCACTGGGAAAAAAATATCCAGGAATGTGAGTATTGGACTATATGGTAAGAGAATGTTTAGTTTTGTAAGAAACCGTCAAACTGTCTTCCAAAGTGGCTGTACCATTTTGCATTTCCACCAGCAATGGCTGAGAGTTACTGTTGCTCCCAATACTCATCAGCATTTGGTGTTATAAGTATTCTGGATTTCAGCTATTCCAACAGGTATGTAATAGTATCTCATTGTTGCTTAATTTGCATTTCCCTGCTCAGTGAAGGTTGGGGTTTAGGGCACTCAGATCTGTCCAAATCAACTCTGATATTTATATTCCAATTCTTTTTTAAAAAATATTTATTTTTTTAGTTGTAGTTGGACATAATACCTTTGTTTTATTTATCTATTTTGTGAAGCATCTTTTTCATGTGCTTCTTTACAATTTGTACATCCTTTTTTTGGTGAAGTATCTGTTTAGGTCTTTTACCTATTTCTTAATTGGGTTGTTTTCTTTTCCAAAATTAAATTTATTTTTTAACTGATACAGGAGAACATAAAATTGTTCAAAGGCTGGAAATGTAGCTCATTAGTAGAGTATTTGCCTAGTTTGTACAAAGCCCTAGTTTGGTCCCCAGTACTGCAAAAAGAAACTATACATAATGATGGGGTAACATGGGATGTTTTGGTACATGTATATACTGTATAATGTTTAAATCAGGTTAAATTTATCTATCTCCTCAGTTATTATTTCTTTATGGTGAAAACTTTCAAAATCCTTCTAGCTTTTGGAAATGTACTGTACATTATTTTTATCCATAATTTTTATCCATAGTCCCCCTATTGTGCAATAGCACATTAGAACTTCTCTTATGTAACTAACTCAGAAACCCATCTGCCATCTTCTCTGTATATCCTGCTATTTTCCCCTGCCTCTGGCAACTACCTTTCTACTCTCAATTTCAATGAGATAAAGTTTTTAGATTCTACATATGAGTAAGATCATGCAGAACTTGTCTTTCCATGCCTGGCCAATTTCCTTTAACATAATTATCTCCAGTTCTACCTGTGTTGTTGCAAATGACTAGATTTTGTTCCTTTTATGGTCATATAGTATTCCACTATGTATCTGTACCATATTTTCTTTATCCATTCATCAGTTGATGGCCATTTAAGTTGTTTGCAGTTCTTGGCTACAGTGAATAATGTTGCAATAAATATGGGGTTGCAGATGCCTCTTTGACATACTTATTTCATCTCTTTGGGATATAAATTCAGGAGTGGGAGTGTTCTTTGTTTTTTTTATTGTTGAGTGTGAAGAGTTATTTGTATATTTTGGATACAAGTTCTTTATCAAATATGACCTGTAAATATTTCCTTCCAGTCTGTAGCTTGTTTTCTATTCTTTTGACAGTGTCTTTGTAAAATATGTCATTAAAAATGTCATTAAAAGATCTAATGAAGTCCATCTTATCAATTCTTTCATGGATCATGCCTTTGTTGTTATATCTAAAGTGTTATCACCATACCCAAAGATACCTAAATTTTCTGCTATTATTTTCTAGGAGCTTTTTTTTTATAGTTTTGTGGTTTACATTTAGGCCTATGGTTCATTTGGAGCTAATTTTTGTAAGGGTTTAAAGGAGATTTCTTTCCTTGGGGCAGTAAAGAAACTCCCCAGTGCCTTGGACTCAAAATCTAAAACTATGATCTTGCCTTTAAAAATGCTTTTTTAAGCCAGGTGCAGTGGCGTACACCTGTAATCCCCGAGGCTCGGGAGGCTGAGGCAGGAGGATTGTAAGTTCAAAGCCAGTCTCAGCAACTTAGCAAGGCCCTAAGCAACTCAGTGAGACCCTGTCTCTAAATAAAATACAAAAAAGGGCTGGAGATGTGGTTCAGTGGTTAAACGTCCCTGAGTTCAATCTCCAGTACAAAAAAAAAAAAAAGCTTTTTAAAATCATGTCAGCAAGGGGCTGAGGCTGTAGTTTGGCAGTAAAGTGCTTCCTCGCATGTGTGAGGCACTGGGTTCAATCCTCAGCATCACATAAAAATAAATATACTATGTGTTCATCTACAACTAAATAAATATTTTTTTAAAAAATCATGTCAACAATATGTATTTACTGTTCATAAATAATCAAAAGACACTGCTTATATTATATTAAAACAAGGTACAGTTTCTCAAATGCATCTAGAGATAGAGAGTAAAAAGGCCAGTCATATGTATATTTTAGGATACTCACATCTACACATTTACCTTCAGGTCTAGTACAGGTAGATGTTCTCCATACTGTGTTTCAAAAGCAACATATTCTGACTTGGAGCACTTCTAAGACATAGAACATGTTGAACATATCTCATACATAAATAATACACTGAAATAGAAAGAATAAAGTGTTTCTTCAACCATTCTGCTGAGCTCAAGTAAAAAGCACATTAGACCGGGCATGGTGGTACACACCCTTTATTCCAACAATGCAGGAGGCTGAGACAGGAGGATTGCAAGTTTGAGACCAGGCTTGGCAATTTCGTAAGACCCTGTCCCTAAATAAAAGGGCTGGGGATGTAGCTCCGTGGTAGATCACTCTGAGTTTAATTCCCAGTAAACCCGCCCCCCCCAAAAAAAAACACTAAATTGAAAAGAAAGTGTCCAGTAGGCCTATTTAATTCTTACACTAAAACATTTGACAATTATTAAACACTGAATCAAGTCATCTTAAACCAAATGATATACTAATTATTACATCAAACAGGAACTTTATTGTTCTTTGGGTGTCTATGGATAAAATTTCAGATGCAAAACACATTATTTACCTGAAATATCACATGTATTACAACTGGCGGGTATTCATATAAAATTGTTTCCTGTTTTATTTACTTTTAAATTTTTGGACATAACCACATACAGGAAAGGGTATGAGTAAATAAAAATTTGAAATAAAAAAATAATTAAAGTACAGAATGTAATAGATGGAATAAACAGTAGATTTGACTACATTTGTAGAATGAATAAGTGAACTGGAAGATCAGATTTTTCATAGCTAATACTTCCACTTTTCTATGCCTGAAGGAAGATCCCACATGAGCTATAGGGGTTTGTTTGAGAAGGAGGATGAAAATCCTGCTGAGATCTGAGCAATAGTTAAGGTCCAGAGAACAGACAGCGGGGGTGGGGGGGGGCAACTTGTCCTGCTGGGAATGGCTGGGGCATAGAAAGTAGGATGTAAGGGAGATAAGGTGGGGGAATGCAGGACTTTGTATACTTTATAGAGCTAGGGTCATTGATTCTGGTGGGGAGTGTCCTGACTTGTGTCCTCTGCAGACTGTTATGACCTCTGGAGAGATAGTAGTCTGAGGAAATGTTGGAGGACACCCAACTCTTTGAGTTCAAGAGAATTCCTCCATTCAGTTCATGTTCCAGGTCCATTCTTTGTCCCTCGGAGTACTTGCCAGCCACCACCTCCTTTTTTTGTTAATATTGTTTTTAATTGTCAATGGACCTTTATTTTACTTATTTATATGTGGTGCTGAGAATCGAATCTAGTGCTTCACACATGCTAGGCAAGCGCTCTGCCACTGAGCTACAGCACCTACCCCAGCCACCTCCTTTCTTTCTTGGGAACAAAGATAAGTGAAGAAGGAGACCTAGTCTAGAGGGGCTGGGAATTGAGGTTGGCTATGGAGGGACTCAAGCAATGGAGATGTCTTTGGGGCCAGTTCCTTTCTGACAATTTCATCTCCTCAGTTATTGCTAGGAGGTGCTGCTGAGGACCTCCCTTCAGCACCTCCTTGTTCTTTGGATGATGTCATTCCCTGTTTTGTCTTGTGATCAGACAAGAGGGTAGGTAATGAGCTAGGCATTTCCCCTTGTTATTTTTTGAGACAGGGTCTCAATAAGTTGCCCAGGCTGGTCTTGAACTTGTAATCTTCCTCCCTCAGTTTTCACAGTCATTGGAATTATAGGCATGTGCCACTGTGCCCAAGAGTAGTCCTTGTTCTTTACAAATTACCCAGTTTCAGGTATTCTGTCACTGCAACAGAAAATAGACTAAGACATGGATATTCAACATTGTCCAATATGATAGTTAATTTTAGGTGTTGACAGGGCCATGGCGTGCACAGATATTTGCTCAAACATTATTTTGGATGTTTGTATAAGAGTGTTTTTTAAAAAATATTTTTTTAGATGCATGGACCTTTATTTTATTCATTTATTTATATGTGGTGCTGAGAATCGAACCCAGTGCCTCATACATGGTAGGCAAGTGTTCTACCGCTGAACCTCAGCCCCTCTATAAGAGCATTTTAAAATGAGATTAAAATTTAAAGCTGAGTGTGGTGGTGCATGCCTGTAATCCCAGCAGCTCAAGAGGCTGAGGCAGGAGAATCTCAGGTTGAAAGCCAGTCTTAGATGGTAAGCAACTCAGTGAGACCCTGTCTCTAAATCAAATACAAAATAGGGCTGGGAATGTGGCTCAGTGGTGGAGTGCCCCTGAATTCAATCCCCAGTACCACCCCTAAAATTTTTAAATTGGTAGACTGAGTAAAGCAGGCTGTCCTCCTTAATGTCAGCAGGCCTCATCTAATTGAAGGCCTGAATAGAAAAAAAAAAAAAGGCTTATCTTCTTCACAGTAAGGAACAATTCTTCCTGCCTGTTTTGGAATTGGGCCATAGGTTTTTTTTCCCTGGTTTTGTATTTTAATTAAAACACTGGTTCTTCCTGGCTTTTATATTTGAATTAAAACACTGGTTCTTCAAGTCTACTGGCCTTCAGACTAGAACTACACAATCAAATCTCTTGTGTCTTCATAATTAACATGAGCCAATTCCTTATAACAATCTCTCCCTCTTTCTGATATCCCATTGGTTACTG